ATCAGCAAAAACATAAGTGATAAGCCTGCTCTCACTGAAGAGCTTTAACCTCAGAGGGAGCAAGATAGGAGCCCAAGCTTCATTTCCAAATCCCAGAATAAGCAGGCAGTACTGACAGTATATTGAACAAATCTGACATGGTATCGAGAGGATCTACTAGGACCAGAATAGACTGCCATGATGTCACAGTCATTTCTTCCTTATCACAACTGCTCTTAATGTGGCAATGCAAAGGTCTGAAACAACATTAAGTTTTCATTAAAGAATAAAAGTGGAAAAAATAAAAGGTATAGACAGACAAAAGTCAAAAATGTGTCAATGAATAGTTGCCAAATTATTTTATTTATATTAGATTTCTAGATGAAATTAAACTCATGAAAAGTGATACTGTATCAGAAGTTATTAGACTCCAGCTACCAATGGAGGTTGTTGCAAGGAGCATCTATTAAAAGTCAAAATAATAATACACTGATTTTTATGGTCAGCTTTCAGCATTTTGTATCAAATATAAAACAACAGCTTCCTTTTCACAGGTCATCCGTTTCTGGAACAGTGTTGGAATCCGAAGGCTGGATGAACACTATGGGAATATTCTCTGACGTCCACCCCTTAGGAGTCCTGTTGAAGGACCTCCTGGTAGAAAGAGGATTAGCGAGGATCATGAACCTGGGATCATTTAGCAGCAGTAGATTAAAATCTGGTACCTTGAATTTAACCAGCTTTGATGCTCTCTCAAAACCACCAAATGGAGTGGCAACTCTGTAAAGATGGTGGGGGGGAAATAAAAGTGAAATGTGATTTTAACAATACCCATTTTTCTTCTGCCCCAAGAGCTGAAAAAGAATAATCTGTTTTTTGTTTTGATTTGGTTTGATTTGTTATGACATTTTTTTCAGTACAGTAATATGATTCCTAGCTTTCTGAGATCTCTTGGAAAACTTTTGGAAAAGCCATATGTTGATTATTTTTCTGGCAAATTCTCTTCAATGCCCCTCTTTTGTTCCTTTACAATTTTTCTTTACATACATGTTTATTCTCAGCCTCTCTCATAGTCATAGTTACTCAATATTTGGATGGAAAAATGATTGAACAATAAGCACTTAAAGTGAGTGCCTGATGATTAATGATTTAGTCACTGAAGGTATTTTGCGAATGATACATCTGCTATATGCTCCAGCCTCTTCCCCTCCTATTTTGAGAGTCAGAACATATTGTCTTCTAGACATATTAAGGACCAGGTTCTACTGTCTTATGTGCATTACAGACCTCAAGAAGGTGAATTAAAGCAGTAAGGGCCTGATTCTGATCTCACACCACTATAAATCAAAGGTAATGAAGTTGAAGTCAGTGGATTAACAATGTACGACCCTATCTACTCACAAGTGTTGTATTGATTTAACTAAATTGGTTTAGAAACAGGCTTAGTTAAATTGGTGAAAAACAATGTTGTAATTGAAACCTACTCTCTGAAGAAGACTTTGTGCCTCAAGAGCCCTGCCTGGGTTTCTTTTGGTAGAGGTTTGCAGAAACCCAGGCCGAATCTAGCCCATTATCTGCTGCCAGTATTTTTAATGTTATTTAAAGGTAAATGGTCCTGAGGTGATTAGCTTGACAAATGGAAAGATAAGAAACACTTAGCAAGCATACACAGTTAAATGAATTTGCAAATATTTTAAAACAACAGTATTTCCACATACAATTTGTGATTCTTTTGTACTTGCAGACTTCTGGGCTGAGAGTTTTCCCTTAGCTGTTCCAGAACGCCCATGTATAAACAAACCTAACCAAACAGAAATAAATTGTACCAAATGTGGCCATACCTGTTAGTCAATCAAATAGTTTTTCTTGAATATATCTAGATTATGGCCAGTAAAGAAGCAATTAAGATTTGTTAACTGGACCTTGATTCTTGGTTGCCACAAAACCACATAAGTAGTGGCACACCCAAGTGAATTCCAGCTGAAAACTGAGAGCTTTCAGTTGGCCCACTTGGTTTTCTGGGTTTGATACAGAGTGATGGATCCATTGGTCTAGAGTTCCTGGGGCTACTGGTCCTCCAGTGCAGAACAAAACAAATAATTGAACACCAGCAGAAACCAAAAGAGAACAATTGAAGATTTTACTGGAATGTTAGCAAGTTATACATGGTAAAACAATACTACCAGATAAGCAAACCACAAGATTCAACAAAAAAAATCAAACGGAAGTATCTACTATCGACTAGACTACTCTATGTGGTGCATAGAGATTGCTCACTGAAATTTTGCAGTTAGGTACATAGAATTATAGAATCATAGAACTGGAAGGGACCTCAAGAGGTCATCTAGTCCACACTCCTGCACTCAAGGCAGGACTAAATATTATCTAGACCATTCCTAGCATGTTTGTCTAACCTGCTCTTAAAAATCTCCAATGATGGAGATTCCACAACCTCCCTAGGCAATTTATTCCAGTGTTTAACCACCCTGACAGTTAGGAAGTTTTTCCTAATGTCCAACCTAAACAATTTAAGCCCATTGGTTCTTGTCCTATCCTCAGAGTTTAAGAAGAACAATTTTTCTTCTTCCTCCTTGTAACAACCTTTGACATACTTGAAAACTGTTATCATGTCCCCCCAGTCTTCTCTTTTCCAGACTAACAAACCCAATTTTTTCAATCTTGCCTCGTAGGTCATGTTTTCTAGACCTTTAATCATTTTTGTTGCTCTTCTCTGGACTTCTTCCAATTTGTCCACATCCTTCCTGAAATATGGCACCCAGAACTGGACACAATATTCCTGTTGAGGCCTAATCAGCAT